CCCCAAAACCCCAAAACCCCAAAACCCCAAAACCCCGATAAAATTAAATTTATGGAACAGGTTTAAAAATAAAATTAAATTCAAATTTTATAAAAATAATACACTATGAATGCTGGACATTTACAAGGGATCACCGTCAGCCAAAGATTCGTCTTTGGTATCAATGGTGAGTTCAAGAACAGCCTTTTCTTAATCGAAGACCACCGGGTTGTATACACAGCTGGACACAATGTGGTTGTGTATAATACTGAGGATAAATCGCAGTACTTCTATGCAGGAAGCGAAGGGACTCAAGGGATTACAGCTATATCTCTTTCGCCTAACAAGGGATATATCGCTATTTGTGAGAAAGCAGATAAAGCACAGTGCAGTATCTTTGACACCAACACTTCAAGGAGAAGAAAGACTCTGACCGCTGAAGATTTAAATTCGACTGAGTTCATATCTGTGGCATTCTCTCCTGTCAATGAAAGAAGTAATTTAATTACCCTAAGTGGGGAGCCTGATTGGTCTTTGATGTTTTGGAAATGGGACAAACTCAAGATTCAAGCACAGATTAGTGTGAGTGTCACTGGGCCAACTGATGGGTATTTGCAAGCAACATTTAACCCTCATGATCCATATTGTATTGTCATTACAGGAGGAGGACTCTACAAATACTTTAGAGTGAAGGATACTGAGATTGAACCTGACCATACCCAATTAAATAATAAGGATGAGGATCTCAGCTCTGAATTTACCTGCCATTGTTGGTCAAGAGATGGATACATCATTGCATGCACTGAAAGGGGAGAAATCATGATGTGCGAAAGCTCTGGAGAGTTTGTCACAATGATCGCTGATAGCCCTGTCGAAGATTGTCACATTGTATCAATATGAGCTTATGAAAGAGGGTTTATTGTTGCTGGCAAGGATGGAAAATTCTTTATATTTGAAAAATCAAATGACCTTGACATGCCATATAAACTTTTGAAAGAAACTAACCTTAAAAGTTTTACTAAATTCAAAGAGCCAAACAACAAAGTCAACATGACAATCACTAGTATGGCTATAGCAAGCTCAGAAGATACTGTATATTTTACTCTTGACAGCAATCAACTCATGAAGCTTTCTGTTGCTCTAGATGGAACAGATGAAGCTGACAAATTTGAGCATTTGATTTATGACTTCCACTCATCTTCGGTCACTGGACTCGACATTTGTATCAGGAAGCAGCTCATTGTGACATGCTCAACTGATCAGAGTGTGAGAATCTGGAACTATGCTACCAAATCACTAGAGATTTGCAAGTACCAGTCTGATGAATGCTTTGCAGTATCCTTCCACCCATCAGGATTCCACATTGCAGTTGCTCTTACTGACAAAATATTGCTGATGAATGTGTTCTCGAATGATCTCGAGCAATATAAAGCTATCCAGATCAAAGGGTGTCATGAGATCCAGTTCTCGAACGGAGGCCACTTATTCGCAGCCATCAATGACAAAGTGATCAACGTGTACAATTTCTGGACATGCGAGAGGCCAACCAACTACCAATTCAATGCTCACTTGAACAAAGTCAGGTGCATTCACTGGGATGAAGATGACCTGGGCTTTGTATCCAGTGGAATAGACGGAGCCATTTATAGCTGGGTGCTCAAAGACAACTCCCAGAGATCCGATGAATGCTTGGCTAAGAATGTGCACTTCTACTCAGTAGTCAAAGAACCAGGAGGCAGAGGAACCATTTACGCTGTTGGATCAGATCAAATGATTAGAGAAATTGTGGAAGGAAAAGATGCACACATATTTGATGCTGGAGCCCCTCTCAGTCAGATTGTGATGACCAAAAACCAGAAAGCACTCTTTGTGGGAACTGCTGAGAAGGATGCTCCTGGGTGTATCCAGATATACAAGATTTCATTCGAAAAGATTGTGGATGTACAGGCTCATAGCAAGCCAGTTGAGAGACTCAAACTATCTCACTGCAACCAATACTTGTTCTCGACTGGACAAGATGGATGTCTGATCATCTATGATGTAAATGACAGAGATGCTAAAGATCGTAAAGGAGAAGCCTCTCTGACATATTCAGATCAAGTCTTGACTTTGCCATCTCAACTTGAAGAATACAAAAACATTCGCGATCAGAAACAAGCAGAGAATGCATCTCTCCGCTCTCCAGACAATCTCGGAAGCATGATCAAGAACAAGAACCTTGAAGAAGAAAAGCAGCAGCTGACTGAAGAAATAGCAACAAACTCGATACAAGAAACCACAAAGCAGGAGCAACTTACATCTGAGAAGAGTACTAAAGAGAGTCAGTTCCAAGACAGTCTCAAGAAAATTGAAGAAGAGTTTGCTACCTATAAGGAAGACCAAAAGACAAAATACTCTAGGCAAATGCTAGAAGACTCTACTCGCCACCAACAACTTGTACGTGAAAGAGAAAATAAAGAAAGAGAGGGAAGAGAAAGAATCCAAATTCTCATAGAAACTCAAAAGAATGAACTAGAAGATTTAAAATTAAACCATCTTAAAGAAATGGAGACTGAACAGAATAATATAGATAACCATGAGGAAGAAATCAAGGTTCAAAAAGAAAAACACCAGGAGATCCTCCAGCAGATCTCTGAAGATGCTGAAAAAGAAAAAGACCAAATCACTAAGAAGAATCAGACTGATATTAAAAAGATCGCTGACTTCAGTCTGAAGTCTAAAGCTGAACTCCAGTTGAATAAAAACAGGAACAAAGACTTGACCAACGAGATTGAACAACTGAAGAGAGAAGCCATGGATCAGAAACACCTCATTGACTCCCAAAGAAGTTCGAATGAAGAATTCAAAGAAGAGAAAGAGAAGAAAGACAAAGAGATCCTTGAGAAAGATACTGTTATTGGAGAAAAAGAAGCTCAAATCTATCAATATAAGAAGAAAACTCAGGAGCTCGAAAAATTCAAATTTGTGCTCGATTACAAAATCAAAGAACTCAAAGCTGAAATTGAACCCAGAAATAAAGAAACAGATAAACTTAAAGGGATGACTAATGATATGGACAACAGTCTCAAATACTTCAACAAAGTCAATGCTGGACTTGGAGTTATTGTGGATGACCTTCGAGTCAAACAAGAGAAAATGCAGGCACTTATCAAAATGAACAGAAACACAATCAGAACGAACAACATTCTGATCAAGTCTTTCAAAGATGATATTTATGAAACAGTGCAATACATAGATGATCCTCTCAAGCTACAAACTTTCACACATGAAATGTACCAGAAATATGTGAAAGACAGCAGCAAGAAGGCTGTGGAAATCAACCCTGAAATCAGAAAGGAGTATGACAACCAAGAGAAATTCTTAATGAATTCGAAGCACTCTCTCGAACAGAAGCTTAAGAAGGACATGAATCTGCACAAGAAGGACAGTCAGAAGCATATGAGAGAGAACTATGAACTCATCAAGCAGATCAATACACTTAGAGATAGAAGAGATGAGCTCATCAGCAAGACCAAGAAGTCAGAGATCTCCAATCTCTCTATGAACAACTCAGAAAGAGCTTCCCACATAAAGTAAGCTTCCCTTAACTCTTTAGTGATAGAAGTAGTCATGCTGGAGCTACCCAGCGGGACGAATTTGCTGAAGCTGAGCTAGCTTCTAAAAGAGAGCAGATTATCCATCTCAGAGAAGCTCTCAAGAAAGAAAAGGAGATAAATGACACTCTGAAGGCAGAAACTCAAGAATAAATAGTATCTGTGGCAAGAATTCAAGATAGCTGACACTATTTGGGGTTTTGGGGTTTTGGGGTTTTGGGGTTTTGGGG